CGGGGCCCCGCCGCCCCCGCGGGCGATGGGGCGGGCGGCGGGCGCGGGGCCGGCGCTCCGAGCGGGCGGGCAGCTCCCGCCCGGCCCGGCCCTGCCCGCGGAGCCTCCGCGGGCCCGCAACAGGTCCGCCGCAGCGCGGGCGAACACTGACCTCCAGAGGGCCCGGCGCGGAAATTCAGGGATGCGAACCCCTCCTGGCCCTCGGGACACGGCGCGGGAGGCGCCCGTGGAGGCGAGGGACGGCTGGGCAGGTGCGAGCGGTGGCCGTGGCTGATAAAGCGATTTCACAGCAGCGCTTCCCCGCGAAGAGTTCGCTGGATGAGAAGACACACCTGAGTTTCGAGACAGATGCGGTTGTTTTGTGAGCTTGAATGAACAAAGTCAAAACATACAAACTCACACCTTCCCCAGCTGAGACGAGGAGCTGGAGCGAGGAGTGAGCTTGTAACCCACAGACCACAGCGAGCATCTTGTCCCTGCGCTGATGTGCTGGGTTCAGCCAGAGGCAAGGTGGGAGGGAACGTGGTCCAGCAATGGGCAAGTCCCACCATGGAGGTGACTGGAACTGGAGAACTCAAGTAGTAAAACACTCCTGAGGTCAAACTCTTGAAAGGGAAAGCACAGGAAAAGTGGAGCTTTTCGGCCATTCTCTGGATCACTACCTTGGTGCCACACACATTGGAGGCTTCCTAGCATCCTGGTGTAAACAAAGGCTTCTGGCCTTTTGGTTTTGCCCTTTCTGTTTTTGGAGGAAGCTGTCAGGCTACACTTCTGGCACCTTCCTGGTACATTGGAACCCTGGATAGAGGCAGAGGGGCAGCAGCTTTCAGCTCAGCCGAGCTGGACGGTCAGGGCACCTCCCTGACTCACAACAACTCTGACTCACCACATTCCAGTTTCCTGGGGTGAGTGGTGAAAATATCTGCTCAGGAGAAGGGGACACTACAGCTTTAGATATTGGCCAGCCTAAGAACACTGGTGCTGCTGCTCCCTGTGGTAAGGAGGGAGCATCTGGGCCAGGATATCTTTGGAAAGCTCTTGCATTACTGATCTCGTTTAATGGTCCATTTAAGTTCTCATTGAATTCAATGAAAAACTGCCTTGACTTCCGTGGGAAGGGCCATTCTCTGAATTTTAAAAAAAACGAACTCTCTTTTTCCCCAGGGAGAGCAGCTACTGCTTTAGAAGAATAATTATCACAGTGGAGATAAGCAAGAAAAATCCTGTAGTGCTTACTGGTTTCAGGCAGTTTTGAGCATATGATTAAGTGGTGGTACAAGTTATTTGTCAATTTTTGCTCTGCAATTCTTTTTAATTACACTTCCTTCCAAGTGCCAGTGTTTAAAATGTCAACCTTTACTTTGAATATTGTTGCTCTTTTCCCCATCGCCTTGATGCAGCTTGCAATAACCAAACACACAGATTTTCTTTTTTTTTTTCATGTTGCACCATAATGAGGAGAGAGGCTTGAGCTTTCAGACAGATTTTTTTTTTGACTCCTTAAAGGCAGAATGCTGTGAGTCACAAAACTGTGGCAGGCACTACACAAACATTATGTGCATGTTTGTACTTATTCCTTTAAAAACTTTTACAGAAGAGAAAGATCAAATGCTGCGTCAATTCACAGTGACTTTTTTGGCTGACACACATAAAAATTATGAGTCAAAAAAGAAGAGTAGAAGAAGTTTATATGGGGAGTCACCAATACTATTGATTTTTACATGAAAGGAATGCCCTCTTTCCCCTTTCACATGCTTTGGTAGCAGCTTGTAGCACAAAGCCATAAGATACGTGTGCTCCCCCTGCACACTCATACATATACATTCATTTAAGTGCTTTTTACATCATGGCATGAAGGCTTTTAGATGATTTTCTCCCAGCACACGCATTCACTAAGCAAGCACAGCTCTAACTCAAGGAATATGACAAGGATTCAAAACAGTAGACAGGTGGTTATTGTAAAATCTAATTTCAAATCTGCATATGGCTGATGCTCTGATTAAGCTCTGCTTCTACAGCACTCAGAATAAACAGATCCATTTGACATGATGACAACATAACCTTTGGATGTCCTTTGCCGTGCACGCTCTGTGTATGATAAGACACATTCCATACTTCCCACATGTAAGGGCTGTGATGCAGATGGCGAGGCTTGCAAATGCTGGATTTTTAAACAGAAAACTATGAAGTTAGTGCTGCTTTTGCAGAATGTGATTTTATGGCAGATTTCTATTCTTACTAATACACACTGGGAATAACATCAGCTACATCCAAAGCATGCACTCAAATCATTACAACCAGACCAGCAAGCAGCAAAATCTACCTCCAGCACAGCAAATCAGTTCAGCAGCTTCTCAGACAAACCAAACCAGGGATATTGGTATTCAAAATGCCATGCCATACTCAAACCTACCCAAAGACTTTCAGCCTCTTTGTGCCTTAAAGTTAAGAGAAAAGAGTATCACTCTGAAAAAAATAAAGAAACAAAGGAAGGCAATCTGATGGTTATTTCAGAGATGGTTATTTTCATTTGAATCCTACTAAAGCAGTTGACAGTGTTTTCTACTGCAAGGGGGAAGCAAGAAGAGCAGAGGCTATGCAAGGTGAGGTGTCTTCCTCTGCTGTTCTTTTGCCAAATCCTTATTATCACCACTTGAGCCTGCTGGAATTGACAGCAACCACTCTGCCTAAAAATAAGCTTCTTATCTCCAGATGTTTTTATAAATGGCAAGCCACTGTAGCTGGTGCTTCCCCACTGCTGTTGGCAGCTGGTAAAGGTCCAGCTTCTCTTGTCATTACAGAATTGACTTCAGTTCCTCACAGCAGCATCCCTCTAATAAGGGTGTCTGCAATTAACTCTTCAGAACCATCTCTAGCAATGTTTGTCTCTTTATAGGCTTCATGGAAATGCAATTTCTTGCCCTGTCTGATTTTTCAGCTTTTTTCTGTCTTGGGTTTGTACCCTGAAGAGGCAAGTCCAGGAGGTTTATTCTGGGCAACCAGGAGCAGAACTGTTTTCTACAACCTGTACCCAGGAGAGGACCCCCCTCCCAATCTTTCAGCAGCAAGGATTAGCTTTGATTTTGCCATTGGGACCTATATTTATTCTAGCTCTGTGACTGACTCAGTGGCAAGGGCAGTGTCATGGAATGCCTGAAGTGAGCTGAGCTGAGCTCTGCTTCCAGCTGATGGCAAAGCTACAAGCTCAACCCTGCTGGCTGCCTCCCAGGCTCACGTGCTCTTCCCTTCAATCCTTTCTCCCAAATTCCCACTGGGCATCATGCCCAGACAGCTCAGTTTGGAGTAGTGAAAGGTTACTCCCTTCTTCTCCATCATTCCTGGTGTACTTCAGGGATCAGCAAGAAGCCTGGGCTCCAGCGCCTCTATCTTAGGCTCTGCTCCCTTGAGGCATGAGAGAGTCACAGCAACTGATCTTGTGCCAGTGATGATGCAGTTTCCAACAGGAACTGGGCTGACATCAGTGTGACAGACACGGATTCCAGCTAGTGACAGAAAGGGAAGGTGCTACAACTCATTTCCATGACTCACCCAGCCTTTGGTCTCAGCTGCCTCTAAATCAGCCCATCAACACGAGGGACAGCCCAGCCGTGCATCTGCGTGATGTGGAGTCACAACACCATTTCCAGACTTCTGCATTGCCTGTGGTCAACTGCTCTTTAGGTTTCATTGCATTTCTCTCCTTCCTCTCTCCAATTTTCCTAAGCTCTTATCCTTTTATGGATTGGCATTACCTACCCCAGGCTCCCCTCCTTGTCACATCTCCCAGACCCAAGTCACACCCGTGGCCAGGAGGAACTGGCTGGTGCTGTGCCCTGGAAAACTCTCCTCTGCTTCACTTCACAAACAGCCTCTGCTGATTCTGCATCTTGCAGCACCTCTGGGTTATTAACTGGCCACCTGTCACCTCCCTAATTGGCAATATCAGTAAAAACACATTTTTCTCTTAAGTCTCCGGATAAAGCAGTTAAATTTGATCTAAGATCCTCACATCCTCATTGCCGTATGTAATTTGTAATGACCTTGCCTATACCACAAAAAATTACAGCTACTTTTTTTGCACTCACACGCTTTCTAATTCCTCTTTAACATACACTCTGGCAGGGAACTGAATGACACAGCATAATCTGCTAAAGCTTTTTCTATAGTAAACAGAGATAAAACCACAGCCAAAGGGCATGCAGGCTCAGAGGAAGCAAGCACCATGTGTTATTGTGCCAAGCACTCCAGTCCAAGTTCCTGCTCAAAGGAAAGCTGTCCCCCGAGGGAGCTGTCGTGTCCAGTGAGGTCGTGCTCCATTCCAGCACTGGTCTGGCACAGCAGAGCCCTGGGTATGGCTTCACACAGTGTCACTTGTGTGAGCCGAGTGTCATCAGCAGGACGTGTTGAAGGGGCATGGTGGCTGCTGGGTCAGATTTGTATAAATACACATTTGAGGTCGTGCTCTTTCAACGACCTCATTTTGCAATAAAGATGGGACCTGTGTGACCTGTGACTCACTGGGTCCCCCCTCCCTGGCTCGGCACAGTCTCAGCAGGGGGACAGAGCTGGAGGAGGCACAGCACCACCGAGGCTCTTCTGCTTTGGAACTCACTGCCTGCATTGAGGCCAAAAAAGCTTGGATACAGCAGGCTTCGGGGCAGGCTAAAAAGCCTAGAGTATTTTCAGACTTCCGAGGAGAGAACGTTGTATTTATAGGGAAGTTTAGTTCTTCAGTTGCTTTTGTAATTAATTTTGTTTATGACTGGTTTATTCAAGCTGTAGGGTTGAGGAGTTAGCTGCTAGATTTCTGTTCCAGGCTCACATTTCTAACTCTTTGCAGACATAGGGCAGAGCTATTTTTGTAATATAAATCATTACAAAGAGAAAATCTCACAGTCCCCACTGAAGCAAATTCC